ATCAGTTCTCGAAACAAAGCTGGGCTATATTTGGCTGACCAGGTCATAAACAGTCATATCTAAACTTAAATAGTATCGAAACCAGTACCATGATAAACGATTTCATTGTTCAGAGCTAAGGAATGAACCATTGACATGACCATGCTGGGTTTGTTTTGGTTTCAAACCCAAGGTCAAACTGTCAGCACTCCCAAAGAGAGCACGTGTCCTGCCACATATAATTACAACATTCGGCCAAACAAGTTGCACAGTTAGCAACCCTTGCTGACCTTCCCATTTCGTCTAGTATGAGAGAAACACCATTTTCAAACACAAACAGTATGGTCCTTTGGGATGAAACACTGTGTAGTTTGGGGGAACATATCTCCTCCAGCTTCAGGATAGAAGAGTAAGCCAAGCAAGAAAGCAGCAGAAGCAGGCAGTAAGCTATACAGGCACGCTTTGACGATGCATTGTGTCATGAATTGGATGGCGTGAAGGATCAGATTTATTTTTCTGTTTGCATGTGAAACTGGAAAGGCAGATATGGAAACGTTTGAAATGTTAAACTCTGAATTTATTGACCAAGCTCTCATCTGTTTGCAACATTTTACTGGCCTTCTCCCTATGATGATCATCAGATATCCATTAAGGATGCTGCACGCTTGAATTGCCCAGCGGCATATACATATACTCAGGAATCCATCACTGTGTTCTGTGTGACAGAGATGAATGATGATTTGTGAAGTTGCAACAGAACTTGGGACCTCCTGCAGCAAGTGACATGTGATTTATGCAGAACTAAGGGCAGTACCAGCAGAATATTTGAACAGCTTTCTCATCATGAAATCATTTACAAAACCCAAGTATCTGGGGTGTTTCCCTCACTTCATATTCACTTGATTTAGTACAAATTGATCTCTTTACATAGGAAATGAGGTTCTCATGGCAGTAGTTATGAAGAACCCTGTCTTCTGGTGTATAACACCATGTATTCCAGTGAAAGTTAAACACTGTTTCCGAGGACTATGTTGCCTCCATTCTGAGAGTCAAAGAATAAGCCAAGCAAGAAGTAGCAGCAAGTAAAGCCCTGCTTGACTTAGTCCCCGACACAGAAGTTAGGAGGCAGCATGTTCCTCTGAAACATAAGTTGACTTGTAGCAGACTATGTGGCATCATATCCCTCTTCAGGTTTATAAAGCTCAGAAGGTTCCTCAGTAGGAAAGGACTTCACTGGAAGTGCCAGTGGTCATGTCAAGAATGCCATGAGAAGTAATCATGCTGGAAGAAGAGTATCAAAAGTGTTTCAGCAAATGTCAGGATGGCTGGAATCATTGTGTGTTGTCATTGAGAATGTACTTTGAAGATTAATTGAAGTTATATTTTCTGTGATTTCTCTGATTGGACCTTGTCATCTACCAGTTGAGTACAGAAATTGTTATTGTGAAATTGATTATGTAGTAGGAAATATTCTGTGTGTATCCTCGACTTCTTTTAAGAATCATATGAACTCATGTCTTTGGCCACAATTCTTATTTGCATCACATCATGTTATGGAGGCTATTTAAGATAGGTTAGTGACATCTTTTTTCTGTCTCAAGGTGACAGAACTGGGCCGCATTTCCAGTCACTACTACTGCACACATGACACTATGGCAACATATAATCAGCTTCTGAAACCGACCCTAAGTGAAATTGAACTCTTCAGGTATGTAACATACTTATATAACAGTTTTACTTTAATTAGTTTCATTTTAATAATAATACTTTATATGGTAGATTCTTTGACTATCTGAGGAAAGTGCAGAGATCTTTCAAAGTAAATAATCCTAAAATCAATAAAAATGTGAAATCAAGAAAAATTAAAGTGATGTAAATTAGAAACAAATATGGGTTGCTTCATCTCTTAACTTTGGCAAGACGTGTAAAATATGCATGTTAAGACAAACTTTGAACATAAGAGGGACATTACTGGTAAAGGGTGGGGCGCAGAAACTTCCTTATTTTGAAGGCGAATAAAAGAAAAATTATTGCTGATAGACAAAATTTGTGTTTAGCTAATGAAAGAACATACTTTAAAGTTTTAAATCATGCAGTTTCAAACAAAATATCTTGAAGGTGGTGGCCACCGTTCTCTGTGCACTGATGCAACCGTTTTCTGAGTTCCCCTCTGCACATTCCAACATGTGCACTGGAATTTGAGCTGCTTCCTGCCGAATAACACTCTTCAGCTGAAGCAGGTTTGTGGGGCGATGTTTAAAAACATCTGCCTTGAGGTATC